TGAGCGGACGCAGATGCCAGCCAGTCGTCCCTTAGTGATTAGTGAGTTGGGAGTCCCCTCCCCAAGTGCCTTGTTTGTATATTACCTCACATCTTTTTAGCTATCTGTAGTCCCCCTAGGAAGGCATTAGTAGTTTATCTCATGTCTTAAGGGCCTTAGTGAAGCAAGTAAATTGGATTTAGAAAAGCTGAGAGGCACTTGGTCTTTTGAGGAGCAGCTGGAGTTGGAATCAGTCCGTTTGAAGCTGATAAAAATCTTTTCCCACTGAAACACCTTCCGGAAGGATTTGGAACTGCACCGGGGAGTTCCTCCATGGCTGCTGCTGCTGTGCCCTGGGTTGGCCAGCCTTACCTGGAGCGTCTAACATAGATGACTCCCGGTTAGTTTGGCTCTGCCAAACTGCTCCTGCCCCTCTCCTACCCTCAAGGCTCACTTGCCCCACCAAACGACTGCCTCCCTTTCCATCTCCTGTTAGAGATAGCCTGGAATGGCTCCCGCCATATTGGTTCCGTTCAGTCACAGGCTACTCCTTAGCACACTCGTCCATTCAGCCTTCTCCGCCTGGTCCCAGCCACCACTGTCTGCCGTAGCCTTACTTATTTATTTTGGTTTTGGTTTTGTTTTCCGAGTCAGGGTTTCTCTGTGTAGCTCTGGCTGACCTGTAACTCCCTCTGTAGACCAGGCTGGCCTGGAACTCACAGAGATCCGCCTGCCTCTGCCTCTCAAGTTCTAGGATCTGAGGCTTGCGCCACCACCTCCAGGCAAACCAAACATTTCTTGTGTGTGCATGGTTGCCACTCTGCACCTGTGGGCATCATCAAACTCGGGTTTGTCTGGCTGGCGCCATATCCATACACTTTGGGGTGTGAGTGAGTCCGGTTTTGTCTGGTAACGCCTCACTCAGCCTCCGAGGCTCATTTGACTCATCGTCGACCTCCCTCCTAATCCAAGCTGTCAACCTGCACAGCCCGCTATCCTGCCATCTTGGCTTTCTCCTCACACCCTGGAATGTCAGCTCATGCTCTCTGCAGTGTGTGGGTTTCTAAAGGAGCTGAACAGAGTGGGGATCCTGTTATCCCCAGGGCTTGAGACACCCAGGCAGTGCACAAGTCCCTGTTTCAATGTCTCCACTTAACGCTGTGTCATAGTTTAGGAACTTCAAATCGAGCTGGGGAAGGGCATGGGGTTTAGAATCTAATGGACTGGTGATCTTTTTCTCTAGTCTCCTGTTTTGAGCAATCCCCTTGAGTGCTGGGATTGCATGCTTGCTCTACAGCCCCTGGCTATTTCTGTGGTCTTAAAACTCAACTGAAAATTAGGATAATAACATTTTTGCCAATGGGGCTGTTTTGGATAATTTGTTAGCAGATGGGAATTTGCCTGGGATACTGGACAAGTGTTGTAAATGCATGGAACTCTGGGTCGCGTATGTGGCCAGTTGCTGGGGAAAGGGTGGTCCCTTTCACCTAGGGACAGAGAGTGGATGGCATTTATATAAGCAGACCATTTTTGGTGCACAGCCTGGGATTCCGAGTCCCAGTGGTGGAGACTGACAGCTGACTTGGTATGACTCTGACTCTAGTCCTGTCTCTCACTGCAGTCCCAGGACGTGAAAGCCTTGCAGAAGGAACTAGAACAGTTTGCCAAGCTTCTGAAGCAGAAGAGGATCACCTTGGGGTACACCCAGGCCGACGTGGGGCTCACCCTGGGCGTTCTCTTCGGTGGGTTTCCCCATAGTATGTTTGACCCCATACAGCTGTCACCGTTCTCTGTAGGTGCCAGTGGCGGGCGTTTTCGGGGTTACCTCTCCCTCACACGTGTAGAGGGGGAGGGCTAGACACTTGTTCTGCCTCCGGGAAGAGGTGGGAGCATTGGTGGGGGCGTGACTTCTTGGGGTCCTGATGCTGCCTGACTTTCCCGTTGATCTGGGAGGCAGGGGGGTTGTCTTGGAGTACTGATGCTGCCTAACTTTCCCGTGGATCCTTTTCCCCAGGAAAGGTGTTCAGCCAGACCACCATCTGCCGCTTCGAGGCCCTGCAGCTCAGCTTCAAGAACATGTGCAAGCTGCGCCCCCTGCTGGAGAAGTGGGTGGAGGAAGCAGACAACAATGAGAACCTTCAGGAGGTGAGGGACGCTGGGATGTGGGGCCGAGCTAGCATGCAGTGCCTTCCCGGCACAATCCCGCCTGCCGCTTCCAGTCCTCCCTTCAGTCTCCCTCTCCCACCAGAGGCAGCAATCCCGTGTCTTCTTGTTGCTTTCTTTTACCCCTTCAAGCGCCGCGGAGGATTGGAACCCAAAGCTTTTCATTTTAACATTTGCTAATCAGGCTCTCTCTTCCTGGGTCACTCTCATCCCAGGCTAGCAGGCCAAGCCTGATGGAACTTGGTGTCCGTGGTCCCTCCCCCTCCTCTTCCAGAATCCTTCCATTATAGTAGAGCCCTGGCTGGGGGAAGGGGAGCACGTCTAGTCAACAACGTTCACTCCCTTAGCAGTTTGCTCCCAAGTCACACCTCAGCGTGGGGCTGTGTTGCCCCTGCCAAATCCTCAACTTGCCGTCCCCCTCCCCAGATATGCAAAGCCGAGACCCTGGTGCAGGCTCGAAAGAGAAAACGGACGAGCATTGAGAACCGTGTGAGGGGAAACCTGGAGAACATGTTTTTGCAGTGCCCAAAGCCCAGTCTGCAACAGATCAGCGCCATTGCCGATCAGCTTGGGCTGGAGAAGGATGTGAGTACCCAGGCGCAGCCCCGTGGTACCCAGATCCTGGCCGATGGTGCCCAGATCCTGGCCGGTGGTGTCCAGCCCCAGCCCCGTGGTGCCCAGATCCTGGCCGGTGGTGTCCAGCCCCAGCCCCAGCCCCGTGGTGCCCAGATCCTGGCCTGTGGTACCTTCTCCCCTACCTCTGACTCCTGCATCCCTGGGCTAATGTCAGTCTATGCCATCCATCCTAGGTGGTCCGAGTGTGGTTCTGTAACCGGCGCCAGAAGGGCAAACGTTCAAGCACCGACTATACTCAACGAGAAGAATATGAGGCTGCCGGGTCTCCTTTCCCAGGGGCGCCCGTCTCCTTCCCTCTGCCCCCAGGGCCCCATTTTGGTGCCCCCAGCTACGGGAGCCCCCACTTCACCACATTCTACTCACCAGTCCCTTATCCTGAGGGTGAGGCTTTAACCTCGGTTCCCATCACCGCTCTGGGCTCTCCCATGCATTCAAGCTGAGGGGCCAGCCCTGCCTGGGGGATGAGGTGAGCTGAGGTAAGGGAAGAGGCAGAGAACTTGGAGCCACCCCAGCGTTGGGGTTAAGTTCCTTTACTACTGAGGAGGGATCGGAAGCACAGAGTAGGGTGGGGGAGATCCGTCATCCTTTTGTTTTTAAATAATAAAGCCCGGGGCACATTAGATCACTAAACCGTGTCTAACATTAGTTACTAGCCAGCCAGGGATAGAGAGACCCTGTAATAGGTCCTCAAACAGAGGTGCCATTCGAACTGCTGGAGGTTACAAAATGCCAAAGGGAGATTTGGGTTGGGATTCAACCTATACAGGTAGACATTACACTATTTTTTTTTTTTCAAGATAGGGTTTCTCTGTATTGTTTTGGAGGCTGTCCTGGAACTCGCTCTGTGGACCAGGCTGGCCTCGAACTCACAGAGATCCTCCTGCCTCTGCCTCCCGAGTGCTGGGACTAAAGGCGGCGTGTACCATCAACACCTGGCAGAAACAAGTCTTTAAAAATTTTTTTTTCTTCAAGACAGGGTTTCTCTGTGTGGCCCTGGCTTTTTAATTAAGTAATTTATTATGTATCCCTGCAGGCCAGAAGAGGGCACCAGACCTCATTACAGGTGGTTGTGAGCCACCTTGTGGTTGCTGGGAATTGAACTCAGGACCTCTGGAAAAAGAGCAGCCGGTACTCTTAACCACTGAGCCATCTCTCCAGCCCCAATTTGTTATTTTTTTAAAATTCCATTTTTTTTCTTTTTGGTTTTTCGAGACAGGGTTTCTCTGTGGCTTTGGAGGCTGTCCTGAAACTCACTCTGTAGGCCAGGCTGGCCTCGAACTCAGAGATCCACCTGCCTCTGCCTCCCGAGTGCTGGGATTAAAGGCGTGCACCACCAACTCCCGGCTTCCAAATTATTTTTTTGGTCTGCACGTATGTAGGTATGTATGTATGTGTGTGTGTGTGTGTGTGTATGTGCACCGTGTGTAAAGTGACAGAAGAGGGTATTGAATCCCCTGGAACTGGTTAAGTTGTGAACAGTCTGTGGATTCTGGGAACCAGACCTGGTTCCTCTTACAGGAGCAACTGTTGCTCTTTCCCCGTAGACAAGGTTTCTCTTGTGTAGCCGGGCTATCCTGGAACTAACTCTGTAAGTAGACCAGGGTGGCCTCCTTTACAGTGTTGGGATTAAAGGCTATCCAACGCTCTCTTAACTGCTAACTGCTGAGCCATTTCTCCCACCTAAAAAACCGAGTCTTCAAGCTTTATTTTTGCTGCATGTCAACCCCACCAGAACTCTACCCTTGGAAGACAGGACCTTCTGTAGACCAAGGTGGCTGGTAACGCGCAGCAGTAAGATTTATTTATTATGTATGCAGTGTTCTGCTTGTATACGTGCACACCAGTAAGAGGGCACATTCGTGTCCCTGCGGCCAGAAGAGGGCACCAGATCTCATTACAGACGGTTGAGAACCACTGTGGGGTTGCTGGGAATTGAACTCAGGACCACTGGAAGAGCAGCCAGTGCTCTTAACCTCTGAGCCATCGCTCCAGGCCCTCGCTCACCACACTGTGTGCATGTGAATACTTGAGTGAGTGCCGCAATATGAGGACAACTTGTGAACATTCTCTCCTTCCACAATGTGGGCGGTCGGGCTTGGCAGCAAGGGCCACGTGGTCCCCACAGGTGCTTCTGCTGCGGGGAATTCCATCTGCAGGCCACACCAAGTCTGGGCGGCCCGTCGTTTGGAAAGCGGGCTTAGACTCAAGAATGCCACCCCGTGTGGATGAAGCAGTTTATTTTATTTGTTACAAAGGCAAGGCTGTGAAAAGCCACTCAGAGAGACTCCTCAGAGACTCGGGAGGTGGCGGCGGCGGCGCTAGCCGTGGCATAAGGAAGTCCGGGGTGGTTTCTGCGATGGTTGCTCTAGCTGCAGGTACTCAGGTGTCCATGGGAACAAGGCTGGATTCCTTGTCACTGGGCATTCCAGCTCACTGGTTACTTGAAGGCAGGAAACCATCTTTTTTCTGTCGCCTCAGCCTTGTCAGCCTGTAGCAATGTGGTTATTCCCTCCTTTGGAGAGAGGAGGCATTTCTTAAGATCCATTCTTTTTTTTTTTTTGGTTTTTCGAGACAGGGTTTCTCTGTGGCTTTGGAGGCTGTCCTGGAACTTGCTTGGTAGTCCAGACTGGTCTCGAACTCACAGAGATCCACCTGCCTCTGCTTCCCGAGTGCTGGGATTAAAGGCGTACACCACCAACGCCCAGCCGATCCATTCTTTTCTTTAAAAAAAAAAAAAAGTGGCTGGGCGTTGGTGGCACACGCCTTTAATCCCAGCACTTGGGAGGCAGAGGCAGGCGGATCTCTGTGAGTTAAGAGGCCAGGCTGGTCTACAAAGTGAGTTCCAGGACAGCCTCCAAAGCCACAGAGAAACCCTGTCTCGAAACCCCCCCCCCCAAAAAAAGTGTTTGCTTGTACGTATATGTATATGTGTGCCTGGTGGCCACGGGCCAGGAGAGGTTGCTGGATCCCACGGGACTAGAGTGAGCTGAGCGTAAGCTGTCTGCAGAAGCCACAAGAGCTCTTGATCACTGAGCCAATCACTCCAGCCCTTAAGTTCCACACACTGTGTCCATGAACTGGGGAAACCCTATCTGTGCCCTCTGGCCTGGGAAGCCCAAGGTCTGGATACCAACGTGGCATCCTGGGTGGCCTGGATGGTAGTCCAATGCAGGTCACGTGGTACCAGACACCGTCACAGGCAAACCCAGGCTACTACTGTCTTCTTGTAGTGGGTAGCGGCAGGGGGCTTCCCACTCATCTACAGTGGGGGTCCTGGGAATGTTCCTGAGCAACTTGGAAGTCTAGACCTTGCCTCTGGGTAACTAGCCTACTTACTCTAGTATTGGTCTCATACTTGGCAATCCTGTCTTCTGCCTCAACTATCAAGTGCTGGGGAATTAGCAGTGTTTCATGTGCATTGGCTGGGACTCCAACTCTGGGCAAGTCCAGTGCAGGCTAGGTGATGCTGTCCCAGTGAGACACTCCTGTGCCGCCGCCTACCCCAGATTGTGGGTTTATATATATTTCATTTTCATGTGTATGAGTAGTTTGTTAGCATATATGTGCTTGGTACCCACAAAGGTCAGAAGAGGACACTGGATCCTCTAGAACTGTAGTGGGTTCTGGGAACTGAACCCAGGCCCTCTGGAAGTGCAGCCAGTGTTCTTAACTGCTGAGCCATCTCTAGCCTAGTATTTTGGGTTTTTTTTTTTTTTTTTTTTGGTCAAGTTCTAACCATTACTCCCCCAAGCTCACACAACTAGCTCATGAGTTTAATGGGTGAAAGCCAACCCAGAGTTCATCTGTCCCTCTCACCCCTGCCTTGAAGACGGCAGTCTGGGGCTGTAAAAAAGGAGTCTAGGGTGTACGGTGCTGACAGAGGTGAACACTGAGGACTCGGCTTACCCACTGGACACCAGAGCAGCCTTCTCCACACGGAGCTTCTTCCTGGGCTCCATGAGGGCTGACAGAGGGCTCAGGGAAGCCTCGCTCTCATCATCCAGCTCTGCCAACACTCTGTGAGCTGATTTCCTCCGGTTCCTTGTGGGTGGGGTAGGCGAGGCTCCCACTTCTGGCTGGATGGGAACAGCCAGGCTCTGCGGTCTGCCGCCGCCCCGGGAGAAGGTGAGGGGCTGAGGCTGCAGCTTGCTGAGGCTGCCGATGGAGTTGAGGATCAGCGTGGCCTTGGGAGCGGAGGACAGGGTGCTGAGTGGCCGCTGGGGTGCCCCCTGGGGGGGCACCATCGGCTGGAAGCCAGTCCCAGCTCCTCCCCTGGACCGAGGGACAGTGATTGCTGCAAAGTCCTGAGGTTTGACCCGGACTTGCTGGAACATGAAGTAGAATTCCGAGGAGCTGGTTCCTGCTTGCCCTTCGGGGCCAAAGGTCAGAAGGTCACCATCACTCAACTCCAGCCTGTGACCCCTTGGGAGTCGGACATTGTTGACCAAAGTCCCTGTTGGTGGTGAGACAAGACAAATGACAATAGGAACATGTCTGGTGAGAGGTTCCATGACCTGGCCACTTGGTTTTCATGGGAACACAGTGGGGTTGACCAAAATCCTGTGCCGCCACCGCCACGCGGCTCAGGCTCCTGCTTGAGCAGATCTACCACTCAATGGCTCCGTTCCTTCATCTTTTTTTCCCTTTTGGGACAAAGTCCCAGTCTGTCACCTAGATTGGCCCAGAACTCAGGATGATCCTTCTGCCTCAGCCTCTTAAGTGCTGAGCTCTTAGGGTACACACACACACACACACACACACACACACACCACCAAGCTTCCCTCCTGCTGTCATTCTCTTTAACTGTTAGCGGTATATCAGCTCCATCCACGGGTAACGCTACTACATATAGGACCTGTCCTGCAACAGTGCACGCAATTGCTGTTGGCTGTTAGAGACTGATGCCGAAATACATCAGGTTAGGCTTCTCCAAAGCCTGTGTCTGAGCTAGATGGAACTGGAGATGCTGTGGAAGCCAGGCTTTTTGAGGCTGCCTTGCCCCGGGATGGAATGCCTAGGTCACTAGAACACCGCCTTAACGGGAACAGGGTGGTTCACAACCCTGGACACTGGGTCAAGTCTGAGCATAGTGCTAGAATGTCCCACTGTGGCACCCCACCGGTGACACCCCAGCGCCTCCCTGTGTGAGCTAAAGCAGCCGGGCAGGTTAGTCCTGCACAGCTCTGATGGGTCCACAAGGCGGATCCTGCTTGTCTGCTCTCCCGGGGATTGACAGGGACTCGGCAGGTAGGGGGGGATGGTCCCAGAGGCTCCCCTACTCCTGGCAACATGGGGCTGCCCGCTCGCCCGCTTACCTTGGCTGCTGTGGTCCTCCAGGCTGACCCTCCAGGCGTCCCCTTGGAGCTCGGCATGCAGCAAAGCGTGGACCCCAGAGATGAGGCCCGGCTCCTGCTGGGGCCGCAGGGCCACATCACACAGGTCGGCCCTGCAGCCCAACCGATAGGTGCAGCCCGATCTGGACGGGGGGTGGAAGGTGTAGAGATCACCGCCCCTGCCGCCCCCTATGCGCAGCAGCTGGAAGCAGGGAAGCATGGGGGGCGCCCCCTCTGCACCGCTTCTCAGCAGCTCATCACCTCGCCTACTCCCGGGCCACGCACCGTGGGCTTCGGCTCAGGTCTGCCTGACGTCAGCAGCCGCGCTGTGGGTAATGCCAACTCGAGAAACTCGGAATTTTCAAGAGCGCCAGAGGAGGCCTGGGACACGCATGCAACCGCGGTAGGCTAGCGGCTGTCAAGATCAGACTTTAAAAAAAAAAAAAAAAAGCAATTCCAGGGAAGTCCTGATGCGATGCAAGGCCAGGAAGACGTCCTGCGGGACCTCAGTGGAGCCGGATCCTCAGGCCGCAGAACATCCGGGGAGGCTGTAACAATCTGTTCAAGGCAAAGCTACTTTAGGCGGCAGCCGGGGACACGCCGGCTGGGCGAGGAGGTCCTGCTATACCGACGCGCGCGCCACACGAACGTGTCCCCCTCAAGTGTAACCAGGAGCCGGGGACGGAGGGGGGGTGGGAAGCCCTACTTAGAGGTCAAACTTCCCAATCCAGGAGGAGCACCCCTTCTGTCCTCCCCCGAGGGAAGGGGATCCGCTGTCACCCACCAAGGGGGGCGCAGACAGGTTCCTAACTCTGCAGCAAAGTGGAGCTCACCCTTTCCTCTCGCGCTTGCGGGGTGCCCCGAGGAACGGACTCCACACCCTGCTCCCCTCGCTCCCACTGCGGTTTGACAGCCAGGAAGCCGCCCTCCGGAGGGCGCGGCTCGGGCGAGCGAGCGGGCGGGCGGGCGGTGCGCGCGCGCGCGCCGCGCAGACTCCTCCTTCGGAATTCCCGGGTCCAGCTTCGCGCCTGCGAGCCCGCGCCCCTCCCCAGGCTGGCTCTGATTGGCCACCCGACTCGTCCTCCTCCGTTCTACTGGACGGTGCGCGGGGAGGGCCCGCCCTCCGCCGTTTCTGATTGGCCTAGGCGTTTTCCCGGGTTCCCGGGGGGTGGGGAGGGGCCGCCAGGGCGCGCCGAAGGCCTGGAGGCGTCCGTGTTCCTGCGTGCGCCGTTCATCCTTCCTTCCTCCTTCCGGCCGGCCGGACGGGGGTGTGGGGGTGTGGGGGGGAGCGATGGGGCTTCTGAGCGGCCCGCCAACCCACCCGCCGCGCGCATGCGTGCTCACGGCGTGAACGCCTAAGCCGGGGAGCTAGGAGCTAAGGGGCGTGGCGAGAGGGCGGACCTCGCGCCGGGTAAGGGGCGTTCGGACAGAGTCGGTTGGGGGCGGAAAAGGGTCTGAGATGGGGTGCTAGGGTGGGTGGAGGGGGTGCACAGGGGAGGAGAGGCGCGCAGGAGCCCGGTAGAGGAACACATGAGGGGGTCGGGGCAGCCTTACAGCTCAGGGTCCTAGGGGGTTGGGGTTGGGGTGGGGATGAGCCAGGGGGTGTGTGCGGGGGAGGAGAGGGGAGGCCGGCGGACGGGGAGCGACCAGGATCGTAATGTCAAGAAAAATGCAGACTAGGACTAGGAAGAGAAGAGGGTAGGAGTAGGAGTCTCGTTGAGTGGGGAAACAACAACAACAAAAAAAACCAAAACCCCAAAACATTTGAGTTCGGACGGGAGTTGGACAAAGAAGATGCTGCAGGACTCCGAGCAGAGAAGGGCTTCGGGGATGGAAGCAGAGGGCATGGGGAGAAACTGAGTCCCGCTGCAGGGAGACTCAGAGGCGATAGCAGGAAGCTGGCTACCTGGCAACGGGCTCCAGGCTGCTTGCAACACTCCTCCCCCGGGAATCCTAGGGAAGCCGCTTAACCACACATGTGGCCCCCTTCTTCTGGGGCCAGGCCTTGGGCTAACGCGTTGATAGGAAATGACCCAGAAATCATGGCTCGGTGGTGCCTGGATGGCCTTCCCTCCGTCCCTACGGCACCATGGCGAGAACCGTGGAGACGGGGCTCCCTACGGTCCCGCTCACCGCCATCCCTGAGCTGCAGGGACCGTAGACACTTAAGGAGGAAGGTAAAGGCACCGCCCACCATCCTGTAAGTAGAAGCAATCTCCAAGAGCATCCCCCCTGGCCCCCATCTGGGTACATTTACCCCGCGGTTGTTGCCTGGTTCTTGGTCACGAGCCTGTGGTCAGGACAAGCAAGTGGTTTGGTTATTATCGTCTGCCTTGTTAGGGAAGAAAGGGGGAGAGGAGCTCAGAGCCAGGTGGACCTGTCAGTAACTGAAGGATTGTGACTTTGTCATTGTAGGACTTTCTCCTTTGGAAGGTGGCCTGGAAACTGAACTGGAGTGCCCTTGTTTCTCCTATTGTCCAGGGGAAAGTAAGAGCTTGGGGACAAGATCTAGAGGCTTCAGAGAGCAGGGCAATGTTGCCACCTTCAGGTCAGTGAGGCCATTAAGGAGGCTGGGGGATCCCCCTCCCTCCCTCCCCGCTCCCTCCTGAGTCTTTACTCTTGTTGACCCCCCCCCCTCAGGTTTTGCGGGACTCATTCCTCCCTCCCACTTCCAAGCTCGGCCCCATCCAACTCTGCCGAGAAAGGCCCCCACCTGGGCTTCAGACATCCCCCTGGCTCAATCCAGCCCAGGCCAAGATGTCCTACAGAGGCAGCCACTGGACTCTCAGAGGCCTACAGCGACCACGTGGGAACAGGACGTTTGTGGAGATGGGCAGAGGCCAGGGCGGAGAGACAGGTAGGGAATCACCTGTCAATCACCTTTTTCTTTATGTACACATTCCTTTATTTCAGCCCTAAGTTCCGTAACTTGTGTGGTTTTCTGTAGGCCGTGGCTGGTACCTACACTGCATATACCGTTATGCACTGGGGAAAACAGAGAGAGAGAGAGAGAGAGAGAGAGAGAGAGAGAGAGAGCGCTCTGGACTTAAATTCCCAACGAACAAGTGTTGCTAGAGTTTTTCTTTCCCTACAGGTCCCACTGCCACTTCAGCCCCAAATAAACACATGGACACTATTAAAAAAACTATTGGCCGATGGCTAGGGCTTCTTACTGGCTAGCTCTCTCTTCCTTTATTTCTCTTTGGGGAGGATTGAGACAGGGTTTCTCTGTAGCTTTGGAGGCTGTCCTGGAACTCGCTCTTGTAGACCAGGCTGGCCTCAAACTCACAGAGATCCCCCCTGCCTCTGCCTCCCGAGTGCTGGGATTAAAGGCGTGCGCCACCACCTCCCAGTTTATTAACCTACTTTTTTTTTTCTTTTTTAAAGACTTATTTATTTCGTATACAGTGTTCTGTCTGCATGTATGTCCACAGGCCAGAAGAGGGCGCCAGATCTCACTACAGATGGTTGTGAGCCACCATGTGGTTGCTGGGAGTTGAACTCAGGTCCTCTGGAAGAGGGGCCAGTGCTCTTAACCTCTGAGCCAGCCCTCCAGCCCCTATTAACCCGTTTCTATAAGTCTATGTATTTCCACGTGGTCTTAGCTTACCAGAGAATGCCCAGACCTGTTACTCCTTTGGTGGCTGCGTGGCGGCACCTCTCTGCCTCCCCCAGCATCCTCCTGGTCTCCTGGCCCCGCCTATCTTCCTGCCTCTGCTTGCCAAACAGTGTTTTATTCATCAACCAATAAGAGAAACATATATACAAAAGGACTTCCTCCATCATCTCCTCTTTTCTGTCTAAATAAAAAGAAGGGTTTTAACTTTAAGATAGTAAAATTACATATCACAAAAACAGTTTTTCAAGTAAGAGCTATAGTTAGCAATAAACAAGGAGTGGCCTGGCATTGGTGCCACCCAGCACTCGGGAGGCAGAGGCAGGCGAATCTCTGTGAGTTTGAGACAGCCTGGTCTACAGAGCAAGTTCCAGGACAGCCTCCAAAACAATGCAGAGAAACCCTGTCTCGAAAAACCAAAATAAAATAAACAAGGAGTGTAGATGTCTAAGGGAGGGGATGGATGGACCTGTCTCTTAGACATGCTGGTTCTTAGTGGAGTGGTTAAAAGGGCCTTTCCCGGCATACACCGCTGGAGCTGGCTGTGCCCGCCACGTGTGGGTCAAGATGTTATTTTTGAGCCGGGCATGACCCAAGCCATGGAATGTGGGTGCTGGGAGCTGAACTGGGCTCCTCTGCAGGAGCAGCAAGCACTGTCGACCACTGAGCCACGTCTCCAGCCCCCGTGAATACGTCTGTGCGTGAGAGCGAGGGTTCTTTGTTCCATCGTTTCGTGTGTGTCTTTGCCCCCGGTACGCCGGGAGTGTCGTTTTGCCACTCGTCAAGGAAGAACGCATGATGAAGAAGGGGGACTTTAGGAGGCAGACCGTAGGGAACTATGACAAGTCATTTCACTAGCCTCCGGTCACACGAGATCCTGTGATTCTCGGGTGGCTACCTACCTCAGGAGCCTCCACACAAACGAGTTATAAGTATGCATGACACTGAGCCATAGGTGGATGGATGGAGCGCCCTCAGGCTCCCGGGACAACAGTGTGTCGAACACTCACCAGGAGCCTGCACCCGGAGAGTGGGGTGTAGAGGTGCATCCCTAGAAACCAGTTTACACCGGGGAGAGTATTTATTTTTTATTTTTGGGGGGTTTTTCGAGGCAGGGTTTCTCTGTATTGTTTTGGAGGCTGTCCTGGAACTCGCTCTGTAGACCAGGCTGTCTCGAACTCACAGAGATTCGCCTGCCTCTGCCTCCCGAGTGCTGGGATTAAAAGTGCGCACCACCACCGACACCCAGCTGTTGTTTATTTATTTTTTATTTTTTTGGCTGGGGAGAGTCTTGAAGAAGACAAGTGTGGGTGCGCTAATGTAGTGCAGGGTTAGGGGAGGCCACCTCTGACACCTGAGAGGTCAGGAAGGGACGCTGAAGAGACCGGCAGAAAAACTGAGTGGCTTTGTTTTATTTATTTATTTATTTAATCTACTTTTTTTAAAAAAAACGATTTATCGTGTATACAGTGTTCTGCCTGCATGTGTGCATACACACCAGAAGAGGGCGCCAGATCGCATTACAGATGGCTGTGAGCCACCACGTAGGTGCTGGGAATTGAACCCAGGTCCTCTGGAAGAGCAGCCAGTGCTCTTAACCTCTGAGCCCATCTCTCCAGCCCCATACTTTTTAAAAAAAAATAATTTACAATCATTTTTTTTTTGGTTTTTCGAGACAGGGTTTCTCTGTGGCTTTGGAGGCTGTCCTGGAACTTGCTTGGTAGTCTAGGCTGGTCTCGAACTCACAGAGATCCGCCTGCCTCTGCCTCCCGAGTTCTGGGATTAAAGGTGCGCGCCACCAACGCCCGGCTAATTTACAATCATTTTACATATCAATCCCCACCCCTTTCCCTCTCCCTCCCGTCCTTCCATACGCCCTACCCACACCCCCTACCACCAAACCCTTCACTCCCCAAGCATGGTGAGGCCTTTCATGAGGGGGGGGTCAGCAAAGTTAATTATTTATTTGTATTTTACGTACAATGGTGCTTTTGCCACATGCATGCCTAGGTGAGGGTGTCAGGTCCCCTGGCACTGGAGTCACAGGTGTGAGCTGGAATTGAACCCTGGTCCTCTGTAAACAGAGCATCCAGTGCTCTTAACCACTGAGGCATCTCTCCAGCCCTGTGACTTTAAGTTTTGTTACGTTTGCGTGTGTATTTTGTGTGTGCGTGCTTGTGTGTGTGTGTGTGTGTGTGTGTGTGTGTGTGTGTGTGTGCGCATACCCATGCATGCCATGTTGCACTAGTGGAGCAGGGAAGGCAGCAGGATCCCAAGTTCCGGGCCAGCCTCTGCTATGTACTATGTTCAAGGTCAGCCTTGGTGACACGGGGACCCGGTCTCAAATGAAAACAACAAAGAAGTCTGTAGTTAACACTTGGTACCCGAAGCTCGGTCCCCGCCCCTTCACCATCCTAAACTGGGAATCCAGACACTTTCTTCTGACCCTTGCACTGGGAATGTGTGCTCCCCCGATGTGCACGTTTGATGTTTAATCCATCTGCTTATGAATGGATCTCTGGAGGGATGGCGTTCCTCACTGGGTCTCACAAGCCCTTAGGTCCCCTGAGCCCAGAAAGCGGTCCTCACACTTAGTAGGAACTTGATAGGTGATGGTGTGAATGTGGAGATCCCCCTGCCTCCCCACATAAAGTCCAGGGTTACTATCTGCTGTCTCCCCGCTCCCAGCTGTACCGGGGACACGCCTCACCTGTGCCCACCTGTCTTTGAAGGTCTCTGGAGCTGGGGGTCTCCAATGCCCTGAGCCAGCAGGCCGAGCTGATCTCCCGGCAGCTCCAAGAGTTGCGACGGCTGGAGGAGGAGGTCCGGACGCTCCGGGAGACCTCCCTGCAGCAGAAGATGAGGTTGGAGGCTCAGGCCATGGAGCTGGACGCTCTTGCCGCGGCAGAGAAGGCTGGCCAAGCTGAGGCTGAGGGCCTGCGTGCCGCCTTGGCCGGAGCCGAGATGGTCCGGAAGAATCTGGAGGAGGGGAACCAGAGGGAGCTGCAGGAGATTCAGAGTCTGCACCAAGAGCAGGTGAACATGGGGGTGAGCGGGTTTCGGGGTGTACCTTCCAGCAAATTGCAGGGAGCCTCGGAGCAGCAGAGCCCTGGGATCTTGGAGGGAGAGCTTGGGTGTTTTGGTCTTCCTCGGGCTGCGCCTGTTTCTTGGGCGCCGTGTGAGTTTGCGCCATCTGAAACTCTCTGGGTGTAGTATTCTCCCTTTTCTTTGCCAAGTGCTCTTCCGGGAATATGGCGGAGGGAGGGAGGGAGTTGGGAAGGGGGGTCTGGGCCCTGGGGAAGACTGGGAAGGGTAGAATGTCCAGTTCGGATGCCCTGAGCAATCTTCTCCTTGCCTTGCTTGAGGAAGGAGCTGGCTGGGGATCGATTGAGTGACCAAGTTTGCCTGAGTCTCTTCTCATGGACTCACAGCCCAGTGTTGGACACACTCAACGTGGCTATAGCCAGCTGCAGCTGGGAAAGTGCCGGAAGGGCGCAGGAGCAGTACTGTGGTCTGGGGACAGGGAGGGCCACCCCACTCCATGGAGAGCTCAGGAAGGGAGACTGTAAAGATGAGTCTCTTGTTTGTAATATCAGCTTGCTGCTCTGTGAGTCACCATCAGGAAGGTTCTCTGAATTTCTCGCTTCACTAAGCAAACGCCCTGCTTTGATATTTGATAAGCTGTGTAATTAATTGGTACCGTGTTCAGAAGTCAACTCTACAGTCCTTGTGAGTGAAATGAGCTGCTGATGGGTCAACAGATGACAAATAACCAGTGAAAGGGTTTTTGTTTTTCCTTTTGGTTTTTTGAGACAGGGTTTCTCTGTGGCTTTGGAGGCTGTCCTGGAACTCGCTCTGTAGACCAGGCTGGCCTCAAACTCACAGAGATCCGCCTGCGTCTGCCTCCAGTGCTGGGATTAAAGGCGTGCACCACCACCGCCAGGCCAGTGAAAGGTTTTAAGGAACTGGGAACGGTAGAGTAGCTCAGTAGTCAAGTGCTTGCCTGGTATGCGCAAGGTTCAGCCCCGGTGTCACTGGAGAAGAAGGTTTTGTTGTTGCTGTTGCTGTTGAGTCACTGTGTAGCTCTGGCTGGCCTGGAACTCACAGGCCCTCTCGATTTTGCCTCCCAAGTGCTAGGATTAAAGGTGCACACCACCACGCCGGGCCCCGGGGCAAAAAGCAGGGAAGTAACACAGATTCGTGTTTTATGTCTAAAAAGACTCTGTGCTTCATTTCACATGCTTGTAGAGACGGGGCCGGCAGCAGCGCAGACACCCTTCCCACTGGCTCCACATCCTGGGGCTGCTCTGATGCCCCTGGCACTGCCTGGGGTCTACGGTGAAGGCCCTCCCTCCCTCCCTACAGGGTCCTCATGAGGTCAGCCCAGCTGAAGCAGGGTCAGCTGGGGCCGCCAGTGCTCAGAAAGCTGCAGGCAGGGAGGGGATGAGAGGCCTTCCTGAGGGAGGGTCAGCACCTGCACAAGGGGAGCAGGGAGAGCCTCAGGATGCGGCATGGTCAGGCAGCAGGAGGCTTGGTGGCTATGGCAAGTCTGTTTTGTGGGGGCTGGGGGATGTTAAGGCAGGGTCTTGATTGTAGCCCTGGCCGGGATTTGAACTTGAGGCACTACTCCTGACCCAGCTTCTCTCTCTCTCTTTTTTTTTTTTTTTTTGGTTTTTACGAGACAGGGTTTGTCTGTATTGTTTTGGAGGCTGTCGGTCCAGCCTGGCCTCGAACTCACATAGATCCGCCTGCCTCTGCCTCCCGAGTGCTGGGATTAAAGGTGTGCGCCACCACCGCCCGGCGACCCAGCTTCTCAAGAACTGGGATGTCTTAGGGTTTCTTTTCTTATTTTCCTTTATGTAGACAGTGCTCTGCATGTGTGCCTGCAGGCCAGAAGGGGGCACCAGATCCCATCACAGATGGCTGTAAGCTGTCACGTGGATGCTGGGAATTGAACCCAGAACCTCTGGAAGAGCAGTCAGCAGTCAGTGCCCTTAACCTCTGAGCCATCTCTCCAGCCCTGTCCTAGGGTTTCTATTGCTGTCCTGAAGCACCATGACAAAAAGCAACCTGGGAAGGAGAGGGTTTGTCTGGCTAGCATGCCCCTGGTCACAGTCCACCGAGGGAACCCAGAGGCAGGAACGGGAGCAGAGGCCAAGGAGGAGCACTGCCTACTGACTTTGCTCCTGAGGCCTGGTCAGCCTGCTTTCTTATGTAACTCAGGATCGCCTACCTAGCAGTGTGTGGCCTGGGCCCTCACACATCAATCGTTAATAAGAAAATGTCCCATAGGCTTGCCTGCAGGACAGTCCGATGGATGCATTTTCCCAGTTGGAGTTCCGCTCCCCCAAAAAACTCCAGCTTGACAGCCTGGCAGGGGTGGTGCACACTTTTAATCCCAGCACTCGGAAGGCAGACGGAGCTCTGTGAGTTCGAGTGAGTTTGAGGCCCACCTGGTCTACAGAGAGAGTTCCAGGACAGCCAGGACTGTTAGACAGAGAAACCCTGTCTTGAAAACAAAACAAAACAAAAAACCTTTACCATGTCAAGTTGACCAAAAACTAACCAGCACACGGATTATAGGCATTTGGCATCACCATGCTTAGCACCACTGAAGGGTGTGTGTACTTTTGGGTGTCGGTGTATGTGGGTGAAGGTGTGAGTGTGCATAGCACATGTGTGGAGGTCAGAGGGCAACCTCAGGCGTGGGTCCTCTCTTCCCCTTTTGTCTGAGACAGGGTTTTTGTTTTGTTTTTTTTTTTGACTGGTCAGACTAACCCCGGGGGGCTTCAGGGGGCTGTCCATGTCTCCTCCCACCTCATAGAGCTGGGGTGACGACAGGCGTGCCATCCCAGCTCAGGTCCTCAACCGACAGAGCCCTCTCCCCAGCCCATAAGCACTCGGGCACTCAGCGGCGTGGTCTGTCAGCAGTGGGCACAGAGAGGCAGGAACTGGGGATTGTTTGAAACTAACCGGGAACCAGATGCAGAGAATTCTCCCTTTGCTTAAAGCAGGGTGATCTGCTGGGGGCTCTCGGGCTGGGGTGAGCTGCCCGCCTTAAAGGTTTATTTTTGCTTAGTGTGTTGAGTTGGTGAGTGTGCACCACACGTGTGTTTATGGTGTGTGTTGTGTTGGTGAGTGTGTACCGTGTGTGTGTGCATGCGCCTGTGCACACGCATGCATGTGAGCGCCCTGCAAACCGCCTGCCGTGGGTGCTGAGAACTGAACTCCAGTCCTGGAAGAGCAGGCCGCACTCCTGCCTGCCGAGCCCCTCTGCAGGGCCTCCGGCCGGCCCTCCCTGAATGTGCTCTTTCTCCCCAGCTGTCCTCCCTGACCCAGGCTCACCAGAAGGCTCTCGCCAGTCTGACCAGCAAGGCCGAGGGCTTGGAGAAGTCCCTGAACAGCCTGGAAGTGAAACGGGCAGGGGAAACCAAACAGCTGTCCTTGGCCCAGAAGGAGGCGGAGCTGCTTCGGGGTCAACTGAGGTCAGCGGGCAGGGCAGGGATGGCAGGGAGGGAGGGGCCGGGGCAGGTGATGTGGTGGGGGCGTCTGGGCCGATCCACTGAGGACTGTCCCGGTTCTGCCTCCACCCTAGCAAGACTCAAGAAGAGCTGGAAGCTCAGGTGACCTTGGTGGACAGTCTGAGGAAGTATGTGGGGGAGCAGGTCCCTCCCGAGGTTCACAGGCAGGCATGGGAGCCAGAACGGAAGGAGCTTCTAGACACCGTGCAGGTGGGGATCAGGGATGGCCAGGGAGGAGAACTCACAGCTCCCAGGAAGGGAGGCCATGCGGGGCTTAAGACTGCCCGCCACTGCGCCTGGGTGTAGCCAGGAGACCCTGACTGACCCTGCTCCGTGCTCTTCCTCCCAGTGCTTGACGCAGGAGCGGGCTGACCTTCAGGCCACCGTGGAGTTGCTGCAGGTTCGGGTACAGAGCCTCACGCACATGCTCGCCCTGCAGGAAGAGGAGCTGACCAGGAAGGTAGGACCCTCCATCATCCGCCAGCCCCTGGCCTGCTCTCTCGGGAATGTGGGGGGGGCCGGGGGCCAGTAAGTAGTTGGTGTGCTGCCCAGACCTGCTATGACCCCTGCCCTCCAAAACGTCACTCCAGCTGCCGCAGCAGGACCAGAACAACAGAGGTTCCCCCTTCCTGCCCCCTCCACATGCAGATCCAGCCTTCAGATGTCCTGGAGTCCGAGTACCCTAAGAGGTGCCGATCGCTGCTGTGCCGCTGGCGGGAGAAGGTGTTTGTCCTCATGGTGCAGCTCAAGGCCCAGGACCTGGAGCACAGGGACTCCATGAAGGGGCTGAGGGACCAGGTCAGGGGCTCCGCTTCACACCGTTCTGCACTCAGTGTCCCGCACAAGTGACGGCGGCTGTTACTCTCTGGGCAGTCGCCGTGTGCCGGGCATGGGGTCTCATGGAGCTTCAGTTGTGGAGGAGGGTGGTGACGTTACCAGTGGGTATTGTCAAACGAGACTGAAGTGGTAGGTAGGATGATGGCCCGGGATGGCCTCTGAGGAGGCGACAGCGTCCGCCAGGGCATGGCGTGGTCAAGGGTCAGGATGGTTTCTGGAAGTGTGGCCCACGGGCCACGTGTGGGAAAGAAGAGCTGGGCCTTTTACAGGCTCCAGGGGCTCCCCCACCCCCAGACTGCGCTGTGCCCTGGGCCGTGGTTTTTATTGGTTTGTTTTTTTCTGAGACAGGGTTTCCCTGTATGTCCCTGGCTGTCCTGGAACTCCGCTCTGTAGACCAGGCTGGCTTTAAATGCAGAGATCCCGGGCTGGAGAGATGGCTCGGTGGTTAAGAGCACTCACTGGCTGCTCTTCCAGAGGACCCAGGTTCAATTCCCAGCACCAGCTCCAGTTCCAGGCAACCCGACACCTTCACACAGACACACATGCAGGCAAAATGCCAATGCAAGTAATAAAGTAAGACTTTAAAAAAGAGAGAGAGAAGAAAAGAACTCAGAGATCCACCTGCTTCTGCCTACCAAGTGCTGGGAATAAAGGCAGGTGTCTGCCACCATGGCCTGGCTCCTTTTATTTATTTGTTTGTTTTTAGCATTTGTTTATCTAGCTGGGCATAGTGGCACACACCTTTAATCCCAGCATTTAGGGAAGGAGAGGCAGATCTCTGAGTTCGAGGCCAGCCTGGTCTACATAGTGAGTTCCAGGACAGCCAGAGCTACATAGTTAAGACCCTGTCTGGTGGGGAGGGGGAGATGATTTTTGTGTGTGTAGGAATGTTTTGACTGTGTATGTGTACGTACTGTGTGCCCATGGAAGTCAGAATGTGTTGGCCGCCCTGGAACTGGAGTTACAGTTATGAGGGTTAAAAGGAATTGAACCCAGGTCCTCTGCAAGAACAACCAGTGTCTCCCCCCACCCCCACACACACACTTCAGAGATTCCTGCCGGTCTCCTTGATTCTCCTTCACCCCGGCAGCAGCCCCCCCTCCCGGCTTTGGCTCTAGACTTTCCTGCCCAGCTCCCTCCGCTTCTCCAGGTAGCAGAGCTCCAGGAACAAGTGATGGCCCAGAGCCAGGAGCATGCCATCTTGCAGCGAGCCCTACAAGACAAAGCTGCAGAGCTGGAGGTGGAGCGGTTGAGCACCAAGGTGTGAGCCGCCCGGCATACCCGAGGGTGGGTGAAGGAGACCCTGGCCGCCGCGGCGGGGGGGTCTGTGGGCCAGACCCCAGGGAGGAGGCTTAAGAAAAACACGCTCTCAAAACAGCATCCTCCCAGACCCTGCAGGTGGAGCTGAATCGGGCTCGGGAGGCCAGGCGGCGGCAGGAGCAGCGGGCAGCCTCTGCTGAGGAGCACCTGAAGTCTCTGGTTGGAGCAATGAACAGGTTATCTTCCTCGGGGCGGGACGGGGCGGGGCGGTGCTGCTTCCCTTAGAGCCTCAGGTGGGAGGGAGGTTGCTGTCCATCTGGCCACGATCCGGCCCCCAGCTGTGAACTTAACCCTGGCAGTTAGTCTGGAGCTGGGGATCCTGCAGTTCAGTCCACCGTAGCCTTTGAAGCTGAGTAGTGCAGCTCACTGATGGGGACCTGGAGGATCTAAACCTCCCCCTCCCCCTTCCTCCTTCCTTCCTGTGCACTTATGTTTAGTTGGAAAAGCATCTAAATTGTACGGCCAGGCTGGCCTATAGCTCAGTGGAGCACTTGGCCTGGCATTCAGGAATCCCTGGTTTCCATCCCTAGCACTGAGGAGAGAGAGAGAAAAAAAAAAAGATGAAACCTTAAAACCAACACAGAATCAGACTAGCTTCAAAGAGTCACTGCCCCTGATTCAAAGCATTGTGTGCGCCTCCTGCCTCCAAGACCAGGCTGGCACGCCACCACCTGTCTTCGTCAGCTGGGTGTGTTTATCTGACAGGCACTAAAGCTTAAGCATTTAAGTTTTTTAAGATCTGCTAAGGAGCTTAATTGACCTGCTGCAAGATCTGCCAAGATCTTGTCCCTCCTGGTGGCTTCTGTTCTGCCCTTTTCTTGTTGCTTACAGCCCACCTCCCCACTCGTGTAACAGCACAGGACAGATGTGTCCCGTGCACACGCCCTGCAGGTCCTCTGGGACAGGTGTGCCCCGTGCACACGCCCTGCAGGTCCTCCGGGACAGGTGTGCCCCGTGCACACTCCCTGCAGGTCCTTCAGAGACGAGGGGAGGGTGGAGGGTGAGTGACCTGTGCCTTTTCCAGCACTCAGGAGAACTTCCACAGCACCATGACCAGGGTGAACCAGGCTGTAGCCCGGATTCCCAGCCTTAGCAGCCGACTCAGCTATGCTGTCCGCAAGGTCCATACCATTAAGGGTGCGTACAGCAGCTGTCCCCACTGGCCCGGCCCCTTCCTCTTAGCCCTGTCCTCCTGTCCTGTCCGTGTATACCCATCTTCCTGGCCTTGGCCTTTCCTCCTCAGGTTTGATGGCTCGAAAACTGTCCCTTGCTCAGCTGCGCCTGGAAAGGTGAAGCTCAGGCACACAGAGGTGGAGGGTGTGTGGAGGCTGAGGGCCGTCTGGTATTGGTGGCCAGGACCCAGCGAGGACCAAGGAGGGACGGAGGCACCGCTCAAGTGGCTGCTGAGTGAATTTCCTCTGACTCCTTTATCTCATCTCTGTGCCAGCTGCCCCCCGCCCCCTCCCCCACCCGCACGCCCACCGGATGCAGACCTGAGCCTTGAGTTGGAGCAGCTACGGGAAGAACGGAACCGCTTGGATGCTGAGCTGCAGCTGAGCGCCCACCTCATCCAGCAGGAGGTGGGCCGGGCACGGGAGCAAGGTAGGCCTGCCTGGGTGGGTGGGTGAGTGGATGGGTGGGTGGATGCGTGGGTGGGTGCATGGGTGGGTGCATGGGCTGGAGTAGATGGGTTCTGAGGCTCAGGTGCCAGGACAGAGACCGTGTGTGACCACAGAAACTTCCTTCCAGGGGAGGCAGAGCGCCGGCAGCTGAACGAGGTGGCCCAGCAGCTGGAGCAGGAGCTGCAGCGCGCCCAGGAGTCCCTGGCCAGCGTGGGGCAGCAGCTGGAGGCGGCCCGCCAAGGGCAGCAGGAGAGCACAGAGGAAGCTGCCAACCTCCGGCAGGAGCTGACACAGCAGCAGGAGATCTACGGGCAAGGTACAGGAGCGTGAGCAGGGCGGGGCCAGCCTGCAGCACGGGCAGCCGGCCCTGATGCCGCCTTGTACCCTCGCCGCAGCTCTGCAAGAGAAGGTGGCGGAGGTGGAAACTCGGCTGCGGGAACAGCTCTCAGACACAAAGAGGAGGCTGAACGAGGCTCGGAGGGAGCAGGCCAAGGCTGGTGAGAGATGCTGGGGAGGACTTGGCCCTTCCAGGAAGAAGCTGCTGCAGGGACACAGGGCTGTCAATCCCACCCCCACCCCACCCCGGGCGCGTGCCTGCAGTGAAGAAAAGGAGGGGTGACCTGAATGATGAATTCTGACTTAGCGAACACACTGCACCTAATACCAGATCAAGAAACAGCACATGACCTCTCTGGCTCCTGGGCCTGTGTCACTACCCCTCAGCGGGTCACCAGAAACTTAGCGCTTACATGAATGAGGGAGAGTCGGTGCAATCCACATGCCTCTCTCTCTCCTATGCACCCGTGGTTGCCCATGTAGACGTTTGAGTCGTGTGAGTTGCAGGCATGCTGGTTCAGCTGCACCCCCGCAGACACACCCCAGTGTCATAAGACCCATGAGCCTGGGAGCTGGAGCGATGGCTCAGAGGTTAAGAGCACTGGCTACTTACTCTCCCAGAGGTCCCGAGTTCAGTTCCCAGCAACCATATGATGGCTCACAACCGTCTATGGTGAGATCTAGTGCCTTCTTCTGGCCTGCAGGGATACATGCAGACAGGACACTGTATGCCTGGCAAATGAATCTTTAAAAAAGAAAAAAGATCCATGAGCCCTAGGCATGCATGGTGGCACTTGCCCACCCTCCCGCACTTGGGCGTAAGAGGCAGAATAGTTTTAAGGCCAGCCTGGGCGGGCTACACAGTGAGGCCTGGCTCAAAACAAGAGCACCAATCACATGAGGACCGGTGAGCTACGGGAGCTCTGACTCCAGCCCCTCCGCGCTACGGGAGCTCTGACTCCAGCCCCTCCGCGTCCGCGTCTTGCCTGAGGAGCTGGTATCAGAGACAGAGCCCAGGATCCCCTGGCCATCTGCCCGCTCGCGGTGTGGAAGAGACCCTGAGAGCCAGAGCTGAGAACTCGGCCTCACCTTTGGGCTCTGGGCTGACCCACTCCCATCTCCTTAGTGGCTTCCTTGCGCCAGATCCAGCACAAAGCCACTCGGGAAAAGGAGCGGAACCAGGAGCTCCGCCGCCTTCAGGATGAAGCCCGGAAGGAGGAGGGGCAGCGGCTGGCCCGGCGAGTGCAGGAGCTGGAGAGGGACAAAAACCTCATGCTGGTACGGGACGGCAGCGGGAAGGAAGCGAGGTCATGGTAGCTGGTGGGGGGGGGGGCGGCTTGCGTGGCCCGGTGCGGTGTGGTGCGGCGCGGCTGACCCTCTCCTTCCCAGGCCACCTTGAAGCAGGAGGGTCTCCTCTCCCGTTACAAGCAGCAGCGACTGTTGGCCGTGCTTCCCCTGGGAACGGATAAGAAATCCATGGGGCGCAGCCCCCCGCCCGTAGAGTGCCCCAAACACGAGTCTCCGGCAGCTGCACCCTCCCGGGAACCTATGAAAGGTAGACTTTCACCCACACGCCCCTGCCCAGCCCCAAAGGCCCCCGGCCTCTCATCCACACACCACCACCTCCCCACAGCGTGCCCAGGAACCTCCCTCAGGCCCTCCCAGCCTGGGCAGCCCTGTGCCCTGGGCAGCCTGCTCTTCCTCACCCCGCAATGCCTTCTGTGTCAGGGTCCCTGACTGCCCTCTTCGAAAACCTGCAAGGCCTGAGCGAAGCCATTTCCAGAGAGGAGGCTATCTGTCCAGAAGATAACCAGAAAACTCAGTGCCCTCCCTCAGACCGCTGCTGAGCCGGAGCTGCCAGGATCGACCCTGAAGCCAGCCTGCCAGCCTGGAGCCGGATCCCCCAGGAGGGTTGGGTTTGGGACGATGTGGGGCAGGGACCAGCCCAGCCTGTTCCCCGGCAAGCCTTGGGGCGCCAGCTCCTTCCACCAAGCTGCATTCCGCAATAAATAAAGATGGCTATAGTGGAACTGTGCTTGGGGTGTCTGGTTCTCCCCCGAAGCCAGCTCCTGAGGCTGTGGGGCGGGAGAGAAGCCAGTCCCCCCACCCTTCCCCTGAGCAGACCCCCTTCCTAACTGCTCCGGAAGTGTTTGAGAAGCTCCTAGGTTTGGTTTTTTGGTTTTTGGTTTTTGGTTTTTTTTTTTTTTTTTTTTTTGGTTGATCTCCCACATGGCGCTGGAGCTCACTGTGTATGTAGACCAGGCTGGCCTTGAACTCATAAGAGATCTTATTTGCCTCTGCCTCTCAAGTTTTCTTTGTTTACTTTTTCAAGACAGGGTCTCTGTGTAGCCCTGGCTGTCCTGAAACTTGCTGTATAGACCAGGCTGGCCTGGAACTCACAGGATTCACCTGCCTCTGTCTCCCGAGTACTGGCGTGTGTTACGGCCACCTGGACCAAGTTTTCTTTACCTCCGCTCTTTATTTTAGAATTGTTTTCTTTGGGTGATGACGAATGCCCAGTGCGTTGGTGGCATGGGGGGGCGGGGCGGTTGTCATTCAGGGTAGAGGATGCTCGCAGAGTTGGGTTTTACCCCAAAGCTGCTCCAAATTGTGTTCTAAAGGGATTTGGGGTGGGTTGGAGAGATGGCTCCCAGTTTAAGAACACTGACTTCGCTGGGCGTTGGTGGCACACGCCTTCAGCCCCCAGCACTCGGGAGGCAGAGGCAGGCGGATCTCTTGAGTTTAAGGCCAGCCTGGTCTACAGAGCGAGTTCCAGGACAACTAGAGCTACACAGATAATGTCTTGTCTCCAAACGCTCCCCCCTCCAAAAAAAAAAAAACCACTGGCTGCTCTTCCAGAGAACTTGGGTTCAATTCTCAGCACCCATTTGGAGGGTCACAACTGTAACTCCAGTTTTCAGGGAACCAACCCAACACCCATGGCAAAACATGAATGCACATGAAATAAAAATAATTTTTAGAACATTCCGCACATTCATATTTTTAAAAAAATCTTTGGGTGTGAGTAGGGAGGAAGAGAAACCGGGTTAGAATCTTGGGAGCCTGAATGAAATGATCCGGGGTCAAGATGGGGCCCGGTGAGTGCTCTGGGAGCAGGGCTTCCAAGGGAAGGGGCAGTAACCAAGCTGGACAGGTGGGGGAAAGTTGTTCTTCAGGGTTCTCTGTGGCTTTGGAGGCTGTCCTGGAACTAGCTCTTGTAGACCAGGCTGGTCTCGAACTCACAGAAAATCTCTCCCGTCTGCTGGGACTAAAGGCGTGAGCCACCACTGCGCGGCTGAGTGGAGTTGTTCTTAAGGAATCTCTCATGGCAGGCGTGGGGGGAACGCGCAGGGGCCCTGGTTCTGAGGAAGGAAGAAACCAGATTACTTGGTGGGTGGGTGGGGGTGCGTCTTCCCGAACCTTTAGGGTTGACGCAACCCTCTCTGCATGGGGTCAGGAACCAGGATATCCTGGCTTCTAGTCACCCAGGTGGCTCCGTGGAATTCCTTAGATGTCACCGCCTGGGAGGTCCCGGTGTAGCTGAAGAGACACGCCAGAGAGCAGCCTGCCTGGTCCAGAGGGAAGTGAGGGAGGGGGGCTCCAAGGCTAGGAGGCCAGTCTAGGGGGTGCTAGCTGACCCAGGCGTCCTGGCTACGCCTGTAATTAGCAAGCTTCCCCACGCAGGGTTTGCCCGCGTTTTGTGGCATCCAGTAACTATCAGGGATGAAAGGTGGCCTTCCCTGTGATTATGGAGATGAGAGGTGGGTGCCTGCCGAGGGTGGATGGAGGAGGTGGGAAAACAAGGGTGGGACCTCCTGGGGTCTGGGTCACTGATAGAGGGGGGAGACCTGGCTGATGACCTGAGCTGGGGGACTGAAGAGCTGCTCCGGGCTTTGTAAACGGGTCTGACCAGTTGGGCTCCGATGGGGAATCCTCGTCACGGGGCTGGCCCCTCCCCACAGGCTGGCCACCTCCTCTACCTCCTCCACTATAAAGCCTGTCGGGTTCTCAAGCACCTAGACTCAGAGCACCCCACCTCGGGGGCCGGTAGGACAGCCAAAATGCTCAGCTGGAAACTGCTGGGGCTCCTGGTCCTTTGCCTGTGTGCCGGAGGTTAGTCGGAAGAGGCCGGGAGCACAGCTGGGGTGATGGAGAGTCAAATGGCTCGCCCTCAGGGGAGGCGTAAATGAAATGCCAAGGGGAAGGGATTCTGGGCGGGTCATTAGCGGGGATGCTCCGGGAAGGCCAGCAGGGGCAGCTTGGTCCTGAATACGTTGCTAGGTCCGGTGCAGCGATGCGATGGGAGTTTGGGCATGTGGAGGGAGTCCCTGGAACCGGGGACGGGGGGGTCTGTGTTGAGGACTGGCTGGCTATATATAACAGAGATGGGGCTTTGGGTGCAGACCAGCCTGGGGGCAGTTCCGGTGGGGTCTCCCAACCCAGGCTGGACAGAGCCTTCTGGAGGCTCGATCATGTGGGCGGTCCCGACTAGCTCAGGAAATGTTTGGGGAGCTCTTGGGGGAGGCCCGTCCCGGGGCCAGCTCCGGCTGTGCTGGTCTAAGGGAGGTTTAGCCTTTGGGTCGGAGGCCGGGTGAGGAGTGGTCCGTGACTACATCGCTTTTCCTTCCCTCCTCTACAGGCATCTCAGGCAGTGGGGACCCCTCTCCCAGACCCACAGAAGCCCAAGAAGAAGAGGACTCCCCAGCCTCGCCTCTGGGCCCCCCAATCCCTGGTGACCCGTGGCCGGGGGTACCTCCTCTCTTTGATGAACCTCTGCCTCCAAGCCCTAACCGTCCCTGGAGAGACCTGCCTAATGCTGGGGTCTGGCCCCCAGAGCCCCCTAGCACGGATCCCCCTCACCCTCCTCTGCCGGATGACCCCTGGCCAGCAGGAACCCAGCCCCCAGAAAACCCCTGGCCACCTGCCCCTGAAACGGACCACGGATCCCAAGAGGAGCCTGACCTTGACCCACCCCAGGAAGAGTACAGATAGGGAGGGGCCCCAGGGAATTTGAGCTTCCTCGGTGCACACCCTCTTTCCTCTGCTGCCCCCCTAAAAATCTCAATTTTCCCATCTTTCGCAGCTCCCTTCCTAAGTCTCTGCTTGGATTGTGTTCAGGTGCACCTGTGTTCTGCATCCGCCCCCCTTCACCTCGATGTCCCTGTTCAGCCCCTCTGCCTTTCTTGGGCAAAATAACATAAAGCACACTCGTAACTCACCCAACCTATTCCCGCTTCCTCTACCCAGGGTGTCCAGACCTGGACCTCCAGGGAGGGCCTGAGCACTGTGCCCCCTACCGCCTCCTGGTGGCCTTAGCTGAAATGACAGTTGACCAGGATGGGGCTTCCAATGGGATAATAAAAGCCAGGTGTTTTTCCTGTACTTCTGAGTCTAGGTTGCTGCTGCCCCCGCGGAGACAGGGTTTCTCTGTGTAGCCCTGGCTGTCCTGGAACTCACTTCCTAGACCAGGCTGGCTTAGAACTCACCGAAGATCCACCTGCGTGTGCCACCACCGCCTGGTTTTAAGATGCAATTTCAATGAAAGTTTTGTTTTCAGTGTCTAGTCAGTACTTTTAGCTTTAATATTTGTTTTATGATGGTTGTAATACGAACACAGTGCTGAATAACTATTTTAATACCCACCAGCCGTTTGAACTGACCGGTGATGCACATCAGTAAGCTTGGCACCTGGGAAGGGAAGTTTCAAGTTTATCCTCAACAGTACAACAAGTTAGATGCCATCTGGGGTACATGGAAACACTGGCTCAAACAAAAGGGGGGCAGGGAGTGGCTCCATTGGTAGAAGGCTTACCCAGAGTGTGGGAGGCCCTGGGTCCTGTCCACAGCCACATACAAAGTTTGAGGGCAGTCTGAGATCCGGGAGCGCCTCAGAGACACACAGTAACAGGAAAACGCAAGAAAGAGATTCCATGAGAATAGGTTGGTGCGCGGCTAATCATCATCACCATCGGGTTTTCTCCGGCAGCCGACGGGAGCAGACGCAGAGACCCACAGCTAACCAAACTGAGGAACTCACCCAGTCCCTTCCCTTGGAGCTCGGGGAGCCCTGTGGAAGATGGGGAGGAAGCGTCGTGGGAGCCAGAGGGGTTGACGGGCACGGGCACTAAGGAAACAATGGCCCACGTCATCAGCAGGGCCCCCCGGGGGCTCACAGAGACCGAAGCAGCAACCACAGAGCCGCCAGCGTGGGTCTGAGCTAGGTCCTCTGCATCTATGTGAAGGTTGCTCGCTTGGAGTCCTGGCGGTGGGAGTGGGCGGGAGTGTCTCTTTCGCCGGCTCGTGGGACCTTTTCCTCCTACTGGGTCGCCTCATACAGCCTTGACACGGGGGTTTGTGCCCAGCCTTGTTGTATCTTGCTATGCCCTGGCCGGTTGACATCCCTGGGAGGCCTGCTCTTCTCTGAGGGCAAGCAGAGGAGGATGGATGTGGGGGGAGAGGGGAAGTGTGTGTGAGCCGATTGGGAGGGGTGGAGGGAGAGGGGAAACTGCAGATGGGGCGCATTGTGTGGGAGAATTAGGAGAAAAAAGAAATAACGATGAGAAACGTCTCACTAGGGTAAAATTCCAGGGGACGGAGAAAAAGGAAAGCTAAAGAAAAAGGAAAGAGGTGATTTCGTACCGGCTAAGAGACTTGCACACAGGGCTGGAAGGATGGCTCAGCGTTTATGAGCACTGGCTGCTCTAGCAGAAGATTAGTGTTCCTTCCCGGCACCTACGCTGCGTGACTACAGCTGTCCGTAGATTCAGATTACCTGATGCCCTCTTCTGTTCTCCATGGGCACTGAGGGCAAACGGTACACATACATGCATGCAGGCAAAACACTCATACATACAAAAAAAACAACTTAAAAGGTTTGCAGACAGAAATGAAAGTCTCAGGGTTTATATCTTCTATCTTTAAAAGGTTTATGTGACTTTTGTTTCGTCTCTATTACGTACCCTTAGCTGTCCTGGAACTCGCTCTGTAGACCAGGCTGGCCTCGAACTCACAGAGATCCGCCTGCCTCTGCCTCCCGAGTGCTGGGTTTAAAGAAGACATGTGCTGCCATGCCCGCCCGCCCTCCCCGCCCCCTTTTTAGGTCTAGTCTCGCTATGTGGCCCAGTCTAGCCTCCAGTTGCAGGTCTGCCTGTGTGCTGGGTTTTTTTTTTTGTTTTTTTTTTGTTTGTTTGTTTTTCGAGACAGGGTTTCTCTGTGGCTTTGGAGGCTGTCCTGGAACTCGCTTTGTAGACCAGGATGGCCTCCAACTCACAGAGATCCGCCTGCCTCTGCCTCCCGAGTGCTGGGATTAAGGGCGTGCGCCACCAACGCCCGGCGTGCTGGGTATTTTTTACTTCAACTTGATATACGTGTCTGAAAGGAGGGGAACTTCATCTGAGAAAGTGGTCTAGCTGTAAGGCGTTTCCTTAACTAGTGATTGACAGGGGAGGTCCTAGCCTGTTGTGAGTGATGCCACCCCCGGGCTGCTGGTCCTGGGTTTCATAAGAACGCAGGCACAGCGAGCCAGTAAGCAGCTCCCTCCGTGGCCTCTGCCTCAGCTCCCGCCTCCAGGTTCCTGCTCTGTGTGAGTTCCTGTCCCGACTCCTTCAATGATGGACCAATAAGGATCAAATAAACCCTTTCCTCCCCAGCCTGCTTGTGTTCAAGGAGTTTCATCTCAGCAATAGAAACCCTAGCTGGGACAGCCTGCTTCAGCCTCCTGAGTGTTGGCATTAAGGGAGCATTTGAGTTCAAAGGGCAAAGGGCAGGTCGGTAGATCCCTGCCATCTGGTGTCAGCCCAGTGAGTGGCTGACCAGACTTGGGGTTGAAGAGAACCTAAAGGAAGTTGAAGCTCGTGGCATGAAAATCCTTAATTTTTACACCTCTAAGCAGAGTGTAATGACTCACATCTGTAATCCCAACACTAGGGAGACCGGGGCAGGAGGATGAAGAGCCAGGTTCAAGACCATCCGAGGCTACATGAGACCGTGCCTCAAAAAAAAAATTACTCTTAGCCGGGCATTGGTGGCGCACATCTTTAATCCCGGCACTCGGGAGGCAGAGGCAGGCGGATCTCTGTGAGTTCGAGACCAGCCTGGTCTACAGAGTGAGTTCCAGGACAGCCTCCAAAGCAATACAGAGAAACCCTGTCTTGAAAAACCAAAAGAAAAAAAAATTACTCTTATTACCCATAGGGTTTCAGTTAGGTCTTTTGTTTGTTTGTTTTCGTCAACTCGAAATAAACTAGAGTCCCCTGGAAAGAGGAAAACTCTACTGATAAAAGGCCTCCATCAGATTAGCCTGTACGCCAGTCTGAGAGACATTTTCTTGATTAATGATTGATGTGGGAGGGCTGGGCCCACTGTGGGCTTTGCCTCCCTGGGCAGGTGGTTCTGGGTTGTGTAATAAAGCAGGCTGAGCCAGGCAGTGGTGGCACTGGAGGCAGAGGCAGGTGGATCTCTGAGTTCGAGGCCAGCCTGGTCTGCAGAGTTCCAGGGACGGACAGAGAAAGAAACCCTGTCTCAAAAACAAAAACAAGCAAACAAAAAATCAAAACAAAAACGTGTCTTGAAAAACAAAACAAAACAAAAAAAGGATTAAAAACCTGATTCCACCAGCAGGAACATGGAGCCAGGAGAGAGAGGAATTGTATTTCTTACATGTAAGTGCCAAAGCCACGTCCTGGCAGGAACACCAACACCTGGTGAGTTCAGGGGGGTCACAGTGAGGCAGGTTGGAATAGTCACAGCAGGAAGCCATGACAGACCCTGGAGCAAGTGTGGCAGGAGTAGGAGCATCCCCAAAGTTCAAGCCAGAGCCTCAGGCATGCGCAGTGCAGGCAATGTGCCCTCACCTCGCAGAGTTGCTGTCCTGGTGGAGCCCAGGGGACACCATCCTGGGTGAGAGAGGAGGGTAGGGCCTGGGAGAGGACAGTGAATCCTGAGGTCACACAGGGGACAGTTACTGAAGTCTGGTTGTTGCTGGGGATGCTATGCTAACAACTCTAGTTTTGAAATCTACTCTACACCCATTTGGGAGCGCCTGGTGTACAGCCCAGTCCCTGGGCTGTCCTGCACCCTTATGCATGCTTTTAAAACAGATTTGTTTATTTTTTATGTGTGTGTATGAATGTGTGGATATTTTGTTTGCATGCATGCATGGGTATCCTGGACATTCCTGGTAACCTGGGGGAGATGGGGAGGCATAAGATTCCTGGAACTGAAGTTACAGAGGATTGTGAGCCAACATATATAGGTGCTAGGAATCGAACCCAGGTCCTCTGGAAGAGCAGCCGGTGCTCTTAACTGCTGAGCCATCTCTCCAGCCCCATAATTCATATCTTACCAATAGCTGAATCCACCAACAAATGGCAAGAGAGTGGATTGAAATGGTAGCTGGGAAATCTTTGTAACCTGACTGACAGATACTGTTGGGTGGGCTGAGGATGTTAGGGAAGGTCTTGGTGTCAGGCTCAAGGTCTCTGCTCTCCTCTCCCCTCCCCTTCCCTCTCCCTTCTCCTCTCCTCACTCCTCCCCTCCCCTCTTCCCTGTCTGTCTCCTCTCCTCTCTCCTCCCTTCCCTTCTCCCCTCCTCTCCCCTCTCTTCTGTTTATTCTTTTTTTTTTTTTTTTTTTTGGCTTTTCGAGACAGGGTTTCTCTGTGACCTTGGAGCCTATCCTGGAACCTGCTCTTGTAGACCAGGCTGGTCTTGAACTCACAGAGATCCGCCTGCCTCTGCTTCCTGAGTGCTGGGATTAAAGGCGTGCGCCACCACTGCCGGGCTATTCATTCTTTTTTAATTCTTTCTTTTCTTTTTTTTTTCTGGAGACAAGTTCTTTCTACATAGTCCTGGCTGTCCTCTAACTGCTATGTAGACCATGCTGGCCTCGAACTCACAGAGATCCACCTGTCTCCCCAGGGCTGGGACTAAAGGCGTGTGTCTGTCAGTATGTCCTGCCTTTTCCTCCTGCTTGAATTTCTGAATCTCTTTCTTCCATCTCCTGAGCGCTAGGGTTACAGGTGGTCACCCCATGCCCAGTTATATCCAGGGATCTATCCAGGGCTTTGTGTATGTCAGGCCATCAGATCTACCGTCTGAGTTACACCCTGCAGGTCCTGGTGTGGCCCAGCTCAGGACCGAAGGCTCTCGGGATCCACATTGACTCTGTTGTGCTGGTTTCTGTGTCTTCCTACTAAACCTGGGTCCTAAACCGGGCGGTGGCAACGCACACGCTTTTAATCCCAGCACTCGGGAGGCAGGGGCGGGCGGATCTCTGTGAGTCCCAGGCCAGCCTGGTCTACCGAGCGAGTTCCAGGACAGCCAGGGGCTGCACAGAGAGAAACCCTTGTCTGAAAGACCAAAAAGAAAGACGCCGGCAAGCAGAAAGAATGGGTCCCTGAAGCAGAGGCTGGGGCTTGCTGGCTTCATATCTTCTTCCTGCCCCACCACACTTAGCCAAGGGTTGTTCAACAAAGCGAGTTCTTAGCCCCGGTTTCGAAGGCTTAGGACACTGTGCTGAGGCCGGGTGTGGGCGGTGCGTGCCTGCAGTTCTAGCCGCCTGGGAGCCTGAGGAAGCAGGACGGAGGGTTTGAGACCAGCTTGGGCACTGTACTGAGAAAAAGGAAGGCAGGAAGGAAGAGAGAAAGGAAGGGAGGGAGGGGGGGGAGGGAGGGATTGGGGGGAGAGAGGGGGGAGACACAAGACACTGAGCAATGAGAGGTACCTCACCTGCCTGGCCCCAGCTCATGCTCCTCCGGATGCCGCAGGGGAACCTGTGGGAAGACTGGATGAGGTAACCGGGGGTTTCAGTGCCTATTAATAGGCTGTGTTTGCGCTGACACGAGGCATGCTCTACTAGCGGGGAGGAGACTGAGTGGGGATTGGGTGGTTAGGAGTCCATTGTGCGGGTCCCTGTCACTTCCTCTCTGCGAGCCTTGTCTCACCAGAGCGTGCCTGGCAGTGGGCATGGGCACCCTCGTGTGTCAACAGGGAGTCACGGAATTAAATGACGAAACAGAACGGCAGTTTTGCATAACAATATCGAGGTGGCCGCCACAGTCAATAAAATTGCTTGGCCAGGAAAGAGCTGGGGTTGTTTCGTGGGACGATATCTAATAATAGAAGCTGAGCATAGAAGCTGAGCACCTGAGGGAGTGGGGAGGTACAGACTCCAGGCGGGAGAGCGGGAGAGCATCCTCCCTTGGGAGATCTCGGGCAGGGATCCTCTGACCACTCATTCCTGTTTCCACACACACGTTCAGCATTTACTGAGCTTTTGTCATGTGGGGTGCGGGTGCAGTGACAGACCCAGGAAGTCCTCCCTGCCCTCAGGGGGCTCCATGTGCCAGGGAAAAAATAAACACGTCAATCATAGTGGCGATATTCCAGTTAAGTCAGAGGGGAGCCCCAAGCGTCTGCCAACGCTATCCTCAAATTCTCCTGACTTTGCAGACTTGCTTTGCCGTGAGCTCAGCCTCTCTTACTGATATTGCTTTGTGTCTATTTTTTTCCTTTTCTCTTCTCAGTCCCGGGGCTGGTTCTCAGGACCTCGTACATGACACACTAGCTGAATGTCCCACCCTTGAGCTACACCTTAAGTCTCACCCATCGTGACACTCATGATATTTACCATTTGAGACCGGCTCTCATTTGGCCTCCGGCTGTCTCTGAATTCTCCATGTAGCTAAGATGTCTTCAAAAGCCTGATCCTCCTGCCTCCACCTCCTGAGTGCTGGGGGTCACAGCCGCGTGCGTGCGTGCGTGCGTGCGTGCGTGTGTGTGTGTGTGTGTGTGTGTGTGTGTGTGTGTACTACCATCCCTGGTACTAGGCACTGAACCCAGAGCTTCCTGTGTGCTAGGCGGGGTGAGCCCTCTGCCTGCTGAGACACACCCCTATCTGCGACTTCCTCCTGTCTGCAACTGTTGTTGTTAAGGGAAGGCTCTGCTCCGTTTGCTCAGGGTGGTCTCAGAAC